AGGCTACAGTTCTAAGCATATTTGTAGAGGCGGCTCTATTGAACTCAGTGGGACTTACTTTTGAGCAGAACATAATATATTTACAGTGCAGTCTTAACACTATTCTGAAAGAAGAAGAAGAGATTGGATTTATACCCCGCCCTTCACTACCCAAAGGTGTCTCAGAGCGGCTTACAAACTCCTTTCCCTTCCCCTCCCCATAACAGACACCCTGTGAGGTAGGTGGGGCTGAGAGAGCTCTTGACAGAAACTGCTCTTTTTCAAGAACAGCTCTTATCAGAACTATGGCTTGCCCAAGGTCATCCAGCAGGTGCAAGTGGAGGAGTGGGGAATCAAACCCGGTTCTCCCAGATTAGAGTCCACGCACTTAATCACTGCACCAAACTCGCTCTGGAAAACACACCTAATGTTTTTAGTTTTGTCTTAGAGAGAAAAATGGCATAAAGCAAGGCTTACATATGCTAGGAGGGGGGCATCTTTCCTATCTATATATCTAATAGCCAAGTTGCCCCCGGAGTGCGGATCGCTAAATCAGCGCTCCGGGGGCACTGGGGGGGGAGGGGGAGGTTTGTGCACACGTGGGCCAGTCCCCACGTGTGCACAAAAATGCTAAAAGTAGAAAAAAATTTCGGGGGGATGTTTAAATCCCCCCAAAAGTGCTCTGTAGCTGACCTCGCTGCCGCCTCCGCCTCCTTGGAGCCGGGTGAGCGGGCGGAGGACCGGCCTCGCCGCCGCCGCTGAGCCCAGCAAAGGGGGGGGAAGGACCGGCCTCTCCGCCGCCTCCTCGGGGAGATCGAGCGGGGGGGGATGGAGGAGACGGAGCTCTTCTTCCCCCCCCCACCGCGAGTATTGCGGGTCCCCGTCTCGTAAGAACATAAGAACCACCCTTCTGGAGCAGACCAGTGGTTTGTCTAGTTCAGCGTACTATTTCAGTCCTCCATCAGCCAGCACAGACCCAGTCAAAGCTTTCCCCTGCTGCTGCTGCTTCCTAGCACTGGTATGCAGAAGTTAGCTGCCTTTTATACGTATTGGCCTGTTTCTACAGAGGTGTCAAAGAAATGGGAACTTCTTCCAGTAGCACCATGACCAGCATACCCTAAATCTCTTCCTACCACTAGTGGAGGCAATTTGTTGAATTAGATCGAACTTTGGTTTGGTCCATTGAGCACTTTCTGTGTTCTCCGTGGTTGCATCATCCATTGCCAATGGGAATAGTATTTGACATTCATCAAGTGATAGTGCTTAGCATTTGTATAGTGCTTTTTTGAATGTTCAGAGTGCTTTATGTTCATTTGTCCTTTATTGCAACAGCATAAAATAGAGCAATATTAAGCTGCCACTGCAAGCACATTGAATATTCCTCTCAGTGCAAGGAAAAATGACTTTTTGCACCTGATCTCTTTGGTATTGCTTTTCAGGGGGGAAAGCCAAGTTTGTTGCTAATGTGGGAGAAACCTTTTCATATTGATCCCGTAGAGTGACAGTCCATATGTTGTTGAGTAGAATGTTTTGCAAGCTTATTTTATAACTAGGTTTCTACTGAAGTAAATGTTCAAAGACACTTTAGTAGTAATGGTGCCTTGCTTGTTCATACCGAAGTGACTATTCTGAATTTCTTATGAAGGTGTGCTTAATGGTTTTCTCTAATCAATTACACACATAAGTGTGTTTCTTAAATCTATTTTCTGTTAGAAAAATACTTTACCTGAAGGCCAGCAGAGCTTTGATGTAGTGTCAGTTTGTGTAGCAAGATTGGTATTTTAAAATTTCTCTTCTTCCAGCATCAGACAAATATTTGATTTTAAAAAAGTTCTGGATATGTTGAGTAGCCTATGCAAGCCATTTATGTCAGCTCCCAGTCTGTGATGAGAATAAGAGACTCTCTCTGAGGGCTGTTATGAATGTGGATATTGAATAAATGGCACTGAGTTCCAAGAATAATAATTTGTATAGTGACAAATTACACATTATTCTTCTCTGTGGGGTGTTGCTATTCTAAATGCATTTGCTGCAGTGTTAAATATCACTAGTTTTATTGCATTGCTTTTAACAGAAAGCCTGGCTATAATTTTTTAAATGCATAATTTTTTTAATGTTAAAAATTTTCTTTATTTTTCTTATGAAACTTTTAAAAAGCTATTGGTAGTCATGGAATCCAAGGCTGAACCCCGTGGGTCTCCGGGGCTGTTGTATACAACCAAACCTTTCTTAGTTTTTAAAATTATATGAAGTTTTATTTAATTTCTGTCAAAACAAAAGTTTTAATCTACTGGCAACACAGCACTCTAAAATCACACAGCAAAAAACCAAGAAAATTAGCTTAACTATCTAACATGTTTTCAAGATCTGCATTAGACAGCACAAACCTTAAATCCAAGAATCAAAGGCCATAGCTTATGCATTATCTGCATTACTGTCTAGTGCAATATAAGCATAGTCCAGGCCTTCAGCCTATCAGAATCCAAGCTAGCCTCCTTTCTCCAGGTTCTTCACTCAGAATTTTTTTTGACCAAGCAGCATCAGGTGATGATACCCAATCAGGACACATTCTCGCTGGAACCCTCTAGAAATTTACTTCATTACTCCTGATTCCTCTCTTCCCATCCTATGGGCCACAGGTTCTCATGAGAAGCTAATTACCATATTTCCAACTCTGACCTTGAAGCTGATAAGAGCTGGGTAGGCAGAGAGACCAATTAGCAACACCTGCAGGATGGAACAGGCCCATTACCATTCACATTAACCCCTGACGGGGGTCGAGGTACTTTTCTTCAGGTAGTGGCAGGTTATTGTGTCATCTACTGCATATGAGTAGAAAACACTGAATGTTCTTTATCTGCAGAATTCAATGGAACCATATTGTTAGCTTATTCCTTCTTGTAAAATGGAACATGTTCAAAGACAGTTACACACAGCTGACATTCGAATAGTTGATGGAGATATAACCAAAATTATGTTGTCTATGTGCAAACAAAGCACATAGTTACTTATGCCAGATTGTTCCACAAACCAGCATCTTACTGGTAGAACAGTTGTAGTTGTACCAACACTTCCCTGAACATGAAGTGGAGACTGAGCAAAAAAAATCTAAGAACAGTCTGTGAGTGTAGCCATAGAATCCAGGTAGGATTTCAGCTGGACCAGTTACAGGATATAGGCTCACAGTTTCACTTGCAATTTTAAAAACAAAAACATTCTACCTGCCATGTTTGCCATTCTGTCCTGCCAACACACTCAAGGTGAGTGCATGAGGCTTGTAAGAAACCAGGTTACCCAGTAAGTCTCATGGGTGTGGATGGATTGGAACCCACTTTCCCTGGTCCAAGTCTAACATTCCATCTACTAAACCACACTGGCTCTATAAGTTCCTTTAGGTCACTAGATTCAAAAACCTAACTAACAAGTTGTGCTACTAATAGAGTTGCTTAACCTGTTAATTGGGAAACTACTTACCATACTAATTACAAAGCAGAACTATTAGTCCTGTTACCAAAAGGAGAGGCTTTGAAAAACTGGTTTGAGCATGGATCTGATGGTGGAGATGTTATATGTGTGTTTTGGAAAAACACCCCTGTGTACACACACTATTTGCTCCTGTTTTAAAGAGTGAATAGTACTAAGTCAGCTTGCAGAAACACAATACAAGGTCAAAATCCAACAGTTTCTACTTCTGTCTGTATTATCTAATAGCCAAGGCACCCCCCGCCTTGAGGGAATGCTCTGAGAAGGCTTCACCACCACCACAGGGGACGGGGCAGGAGAAGGCTTGGCGGGCTGGCCTTGCCGCTGCTGCTGGGGAGTGAGGGGGGAAGGAGAAAGCTTGGCGAGCTGGCCTTGCCACCACCACCGCTGTGGGGGGGTGAGGGAGAAAGCTTGGCGAGTGGGCCGGCCTTGCCGCTGCTGGGGAGGGAGGGGGAA